TTAAATCAGTAGATGTTTGGATCATTTAGCCAGAATTGTTTTGCAAAATCAAACTCTGCAACTCAATCTCTTAACAAACCCGTGAACGTTGCACAATAGTAAAATGGTGCTTTTTGGTGTTCTAGATTGGGTTATTCGTCTCCTGTTAATTGGTGGGCTTCTAGTTATGGCATGAGCCCATGAGAATTGTTGGACTTAAATAGTTCGAAATCATCACCAGCCAGGCCGTTTGAATTGGTATTAGATGAGCCTTTCTATGATACGAAGAGATTTGGGTTTTCTTGGAGGGCCAGCAAACACCAGAGCGAACGACGCGTGATTCCTTTTGGACGATACGCCGTCCACCCCTTTCTCTCTCTCTCTTTTCCTGGGCGACATGCTGGCCTGGGGCGAACAGCAGCCCACCTTTTTTTCTGTTTTTTTTCCTTTGTTTTTCTTTTCTTTAATTTTTTCCATTATTTGTTATTTACTCAATATCAATTTTTTCCAAATATTTTTTATACAACATCACATAAAAATAATGATTATTTTCATGATTTTGAATTTATTTTAAAAAAATAAATAATAAAAATAATATTTTTTTATACAACCCTAAAAAAAAAGATCGTTTGCCTTTTTTTTTTTTTTTACAAAAAAAGAGATTTTATAATTTATAATTAATTAATTTAAGACGTATAATTTTTTAAATTTTAATGATGATAACACTAATCAAGAATTGATAAATAACATCAGTATTTTTCTTTAAAATAAATATTAGTGCTTATCGTAGATTAATATTTAGAAGAAAAAATGGTTTAAATAATAATTATTTAATATTTAATAATTTTCATCTTTTATATTAATTTTGGGTTGATTACGTATCTCTTCAAAGTTGATCGTCATTTTTCAACATAAAATAAAATAATGTTCAAAATTACATTGGTACAAAATAAAATACAAAAATTAACTATCAAGCACCCTTCCAACACAGATTGCTTGAACATCCTTTCATTGTTGATTCTTGCATCCGTCAAATTGTTGATTTTTATAATTAGATATAAGATGATATAAATAATTGATTATATGCTAGTTATTTTTATTTATCAAAATCAAATGTATTCATAAAATATATTTAAACTAAAAAAATGTGATACTAAATGCTACAAAATACAAATTAAATGAAAAAAAATTGAAACTAGTATTGTTTGATTTTGATTTTGCTCGCCTAAATTTTCAGAATTATTTAAATATATATATATATATATTTTTATAATAGTTACTATCGCAAAACAGAAGACACGACACTAGTTACAATTATATAAGAAAAATAAGGAAAAGTGTAATAGAAAATCTCCCAACTTCTTTATAATACTATTCTTCCATTACATTAATTTTTAAAAAATGTCATTTTCATTTCATTTCAATTCATATCTGTATAAAGAACAATCAGATTGATTTTTTAGTTTCAGTATGAATATATATATTTTTTTTACTACATTAAATTAATGTCATGGACTTAGTATATTTTGCCTATGTTTCTGTCTCCATGGAACCTGGGTAAATGAACTAAAGGTAAGAAGACTATACACATAGGAGCAACGGAACTACGAGTAATTAGGGATGTTTACTATTCGGTAAAAATCAAATAATTGAATTGAACTGTATTGAAATATCAATTTTAATGTGATTTTTTTTTTAGAAATTAAAATAAAAAACCGAACCGAAATAATTTTTGTTTTTGGGTTCGGGTTCAATATTTTTTTTAAAAAAAACGAGTTAACCGAAAAACCAAAATTTTTAATATATACTAAGTTAGATCACTCGGTGTACCTTCAAATTGAAAAACCTTTCTCCCTTAAATGCATTTCCTCCCACAACTTCGTACGTGCTCTCTTTGTCTGTTACAAGGGTGGATGTATATATATATTAAGTCAAATCACTCAATGCACCTTCAAATTGAAAAACCTTTCTCCCCTAGATACACTTCCTCCCACAACTTCATACGTGCTCTTTTTGTCTCTGTTACAAGTGTGGATATATATATATATATATATATATATATATATATATATATATATATATATATTAAGTCGGATCACTCAATGCATCTTCAAATTAAAAAACCTTTTTCACCTATCTCTAGTACAAGTCTGGATGTAAATAAAATAGTAAGGATGTTGATAGATTTTCTATAGTCTCCAATTCAAACCTTCTTGAGTAGATAATTTATTATTTGTTTATCTATCAATATACTTATTTTTTTTTAGCACAACTTAGTTGCCTAGCTAGTAGTCCATAAAGTAGAAAGAAACTCACTCTACACAAATATTTCAGAACTTTAATAGAATCAGCAATTTGTAGAAAAAATTAAAATAAAATAAAACGAAAAAAAATCAAATTATCGAACACCAAAACTAAATAATCGTTTTGTTTTTTTTTATTTATTGAAAGTTTGATTAATAAAAACCGTTCAAAATATTTCGAAACATAGGTAAATATCCGAATGAACACCCTTATTAATAATTTTGTAAGTGTCTTGTATCGAGGGTAATGGTTTAACCTTTGCAGCGGAGCTTTTGAAATGGTAGGAAACATATATAAATGTTTGATTAAATATGTTGTTAGAAGTGAAGTTATATTAAAAATAATTAAAATATATATATATACTGGAGAAATTCCAAATTCGAAGCTTCTTGTTTGTCATTTGAGATAGCTTCACTCTAAAAAATTCATAATCAAATGATACTATGATAGAGTTTCAAAACTTCCAAAACAACAGACTATTCAAATAAAACTTAAATAGAATAAAACATATCATAAAAAAAATCTAGAAATTAAAAAAGAAAAAAAATGAAATCAAGGAACACCAAATAGTGAATGAACGGTTAGTTTTAAAGGTAAGTTAAGAGTTGTCATTAATTAATCGACTATATAATTATCGTTTTTTCTTTTTTTGGTTGGTTTTAATATCAGATTAACGTATCATTAAATTGGCTTTTATTTATCATCTGAACTTTTCTTTTCTAGATCTTTATAAGTACATCATCCACATTTAAATTAGTACATTCCTAATAACATATCATTTTAAAATTCAAACTCTAAATAATAACACAATGAATGATCTAATTTAGTAACCAAACTGATCAGTCTTAGAAGATATTATCAATTAACTGTAACCAGATATATGCTGCCACCTTAAATAATCATAACACCACCATTAAATTTCGTATTGAATATTAATTAATCCATTGATTCTTAAATATCAGAGGTATTCTGCTAGATACCCCCTAAGCGGGAAAGAAGGGGGGAATAAGGTGAAGTCTTGTATTTTTTTTTACTCACTTTCTTATTTCTATTTTGACCCTCAAAACATCAAAAGAAAAACTGTTGAAAAAAAAATCAGACAAGAGTAAAAACTTTACCCCCTAAAAAAAGAGGAAAAAAAAAAAAAAGAAGAAGGAATGCAATTGAACTTTCAGGAACAGAATCAATATTTCTGATTTCCATGCACTTTACTGCGTCCAACAGCTCCATAGAGTAATGGACTCGGGCTTCAGCTATTTCTCTGGGTAAACACCGAGCAGCAGTTAGGTTTTTTAACTTTGGGAATCACAATACGGACATTGTTTTCCCTACCTTCATATCCATAGCAAAGCAAATCGAAGTGCAGGATCGCTATATATGATGCATGTGGCAGGGTGATGGGTTAGTATGAACATGTCCCATATATGCATCCTTTGATGATCATTTTCTGCCTTGGCATGATCAGTACCATCTGGAATTGGATGGACACATCAACGCCATGTGCTTGTTACCATCAGCATCCATACTAGGGGAGCTCAAGACTTCATCCAAAAAAGGGGAGCTTAAAACGTTATAATCGTTACCTACAACCCATCAATTCTTTCCGGCTATCCTTTTCTTTCATCTTTCTAGCTTGCTAGCTCCATGAGCAAACTACAAATCATCAAGTATAGCATACAACTTATACTATCATTAAAAGCCATAGCGTCTCAGCATCATCTTGAATTATATATATATTATTCATTTTTCTAAATACGTAAACCCTATGTAAAACACTAGAGTATATATCTTAAAGAATACTTCTGATTTTTTTTTTCAAGTCAAAGTTAATGGAAATTAGCGATTCTAAGCACTTGACTAAAATTGGAAATCTCAAGCTAGCAATTGACCAAAAAAAATTCAGGCGGGTAAAATTGATGCGCACGAAAGAATTAAGGATTCACCCGGGCATTCTTGAAAAAATAAACGAGAGAGAGAGGCATTTAGTGAAAAGAACGTTGGGCTTTTTGATTGAATAGTTTTACTTTGTAAATCAATCACTAATATCAAACGGTAAAAGTCATTGCATATTCCCTCACAGTCAGATCAACTTCTCTTAGTTCCGTTTTTGTCAAATCAACCCTATTATTTAATTTAAACAAGGATTGATTCCTACCATCTTAATATGTTCATACATCGCATGTTAGACCTACAAAATAAATAAGAGAACCGAATTTTTTTTTGTTGACAGCTTGACCAAAATAATCTTTATGATCTCTTTGACAATACAGTATGATTTTCATCTCAATATTTTCATTTGAAGAATTAAACATTTATACTCATATGGTTAAAAAATAATTAAGAATAATTGACTTTTTCAGTCAAATGACAATTATGCAAAATAAACTGATAAGATGATTTTTATTACTCCTGAAATAATGAAGCACCTCTCAAATCTCTAAAAGCTATATCGTAGTAGCGTAATATAACAGTTCTAATCGGAAGAAGGTGGATAAAAATTCAAACCAAAAGGTTAAAAATTAATTAAAAATGAAGTAGGAGGACTGATTTGACTAAATGTCAAAACACTAGGAATCAATATGATTTTGATTTCAACATATAAAAAACGCTTCACTAACCTGGAAGTAGAAAATCCTCTCTGCCCATAACAATCCACAGAAATGGAGCACATCTCCCTCACTCCCTAACTCGAAAAAAACCCCCAAAATCAATCAAAGATGGAGGAAAAACCGGCGGGGAGCCACGCTGACTCGCCGGCGTCTGTTGAGCCGGTAACTTCAAGGCGCCGAGCTGGAGGGCACAAAAGGAAAGCGAATTCACTCTCAAATTCTCTCTCTTCACCTTTACCATCGAAACGTCTCACTCGCGAGAAAGCTGCGATCTCTAATCTCTCGATCCATAACGGTCCTTTGACTAGAGCGAGACAAAGCCCTAACATTTTGGCTTCTTCAGCGTCTCCAGCGGGCGTGCAGGTAGAACAGAAGGTAGTTGCGGCGGTGCCGGATGCTGCGGCGGTGGTGGAGGAGGAGAGGAGGAGTAAGGTGGAGGAATTGCAAGCAGCAATTGAAGCGGAGTTTGAGGTTATTAGATCTCGTGATTCTAATGCTCATGTTGTGCCTAGTCATTGTGGTAAGTAGCGAAAGTTTGAATTTTTGTGTTTTCTGGTCAAGTTTGAATTTTTGTGTTTTCTGGTCAAGTTTGTTTATTTGAATTTAGTTTCTGAGAAAATGTGAAAATTTTGAGGTTTTGGTCTATGTATTAGCGGCAATTATGAGAATTCTTGAACTTCAGGGTTTTTTAGGTCAAGTTGTGTGCATTTTGTTCTATTGTTTATAAAGTGAGAATGTGAAAAATTATGTGTTTTATTTTTATATTGAAATTTAGATTCTTGTGATAAATGATGTGGGGAATTGCTTAGTAGAGGCAGAAAATGAGTTTTGGTTTCCTCCCATTTGGATTACAGGTTGGTTCTCATGGACAAAAATTCACCTGCTTGAGGAGCGTTTACTGCCTTCTTTCTTTAATGGAAAGTCCCAAAGTCGGACACCTGATACCTATTTAGAGATACGTAATTGGATTATGAAGAAATTTCATGCAAATCCAAACACTCTTATTGAAGTGAAAGATTTGTCGGAACTTGTAGTTTCAGACTTAGATGCAAGGCAAGAGGTGCTAGAGTTCTTGGACTATTGGGGATTGATTAACTTTCATCCATTACAATTGGATTCTGCTTCCAATGCTGATGGTGAAGAAGCAGCAAAGAAAGATTTGTCTCTTGAAAAGTTGTTTCGCTTTGAAACCATTCAGCCACGTCCGCCTATTGCTCCTAAACCTAGCCTTGCAGCTCCAACGACACCATCTAGATTGTTCCCCGAGTCGGCAATTGCTGAAGAGTTGGCTAAGCTCGAGGGGGCAGGTGTTGAGTACCACTGCAATTCTTGTTCAGCTGATTGCTCTCGCAAGCGCTACCATTGCCAAAAGCAGGTTGGTTCTTCCCTAGGATTTGCTAATTTTAATTCTGCACCACCCGGATTCAATTGTTTTTGAAGTATGGAATCTCTTTTAGTCAGTAGATTGGATTGTTGGCCCCTAAAATAGGATAGAAGTACATGCCAAATATTAGTTTTTCACGGTATAGCAATATGATACGTGGAGCAGAGCAACAAGTGCTTACCAAATTTTAGTTTCTCCCATCCTTCGCCCATATATATTGCATTCTTTCTAATTATGTTCCTATTGGACAGGCAGATTATGATTTATGTGCCGATTGCTTTAATATTGGAAAGTTTGGCTCAAACATGTCCTCGTCGGATTTTATTCTCATGGAGCCTGCTGAGGCTGCTGGAGCAAGTGGTGGAAAGTGGACAGATCAGGAGACTCTACTTCTCCTTGAAGCACTGGAGCTTTATAAAGAAAACTGGAATGAGATTGCAGAACATGTTGCCACAAAAACAAAAGCTCAATGTATATTGCACTTTGTCCAAATGCCAATTGAGGATGCCTTTTTTGATTGTGCCAATGATATGAATGGCACTTCCAAAGAGACAGCAGATGCTGATGCAACCATTGATGACACATCAGGCCCTAAAGATGTCCCTGATACAAGTGAGAGTAAAATGGGTGCTAATGAGGATCATCCCCTGACTCCTCCAATGGAAACTTCAAAACCAGAAGATACAAGTGAAGTAAAAGTTTGTCAGGAAAGTACAGAAAATGAGAAAAGCAGGGAGGTGATTAATGGTCGGGATACTTCAAAATCAGAAGATGCCAGTGAAGTGAAGGTTGGTGAGGAAATGGATGAAAATGTTGCACTCAGAGCTCTTACAGAAGCATTTGAAGCTGTCGGCTATTCCCCAGCTCCTGAAAACCAACTTTCATTTTCGGAAGTTGGAAATCCTGTCATGGCTTTGGTAAGTTGAATGTTAACGTGCAGAAAACTATGGCATTTATCAGGATGCATCTTGAAATGAGCTTACTATAAATGAATATTGATACCAGTATCAATCATGAACATAAAAGTGCTTCCCCAGTTAAAAGTGAATTGTCTTGGTAAACATGCAAGAAAACCTGATAATTTTCTGTTGCATGCTTCTGAATTACAAAAAAACAGAAGTGAAAATTTGGTGACTCTTTTACACCTAGCTACATCTAGCATGATCAGTCTGTTCGTTCATGTTCTCGTTCATTCATGGCCATCTTCTACCTGCATTTGACTCGCAATCAGTAGCTTCCATTCTCTCTATTTACTTAAAGAGTTTTCATTTTGCAAATAAAAAGATTAAAAGGATTAACCTTGGGGCTTTTGACATTGTATGCGGTATCACTTTCAAAATGTAGCTAATATCTTTCATATTATGGTTCCTTTCTTCTATAGTCATCATTTCTGGCATCCATTCTTTCCATTTACATAAAGTTTTCATTTTGCAAATAAAAAGATACAAAGGATTAACCTTGAGGCTTATGACATTGTAGGCAGTAACACTTTCAAAATTTAGCTAATATCTTCCATATTATGGTCCCTTTCTTCTATAGGCATCATTTCTGGCATCCATTCTCTCCATTTACGTAAAGTTTTCATTTTGCAAATAAAAAGATAAAAAGGATTAACCTTGATGCCCATGTCATTGTATCCAGTAACACTTTCAAAATGTAGTTAATATCTTTCATATTATGGTTCATTTCTTCTATAGGCATCATTTCTGGCAAGATTGGTGGGACCCGATGTTGCTACAGCTTCAGCCTGCAGTTCTTTGAAAGCTTTGTCTAGCAATTCTCCTGGCTTGCAGCTGGCGGCAAGGCATTGCTTTCTTTTGGAAGATCCACCAGATGAGAGAGAGAAACCATCCAGCAGTGATTGGTATGTGAACCTTTTCTGGAACTTAATTTTGTTTTCGATATCTGGGTTCTGTGTCTCATGCGAGTAAGAGATTTGCAGTGTTGCTACTGAAATGGCCGATCAGGATGCTCAAAAGGACAAGCAGGAGGAAAAAAGCCAGAAAGAGAATAGCCCTACCTCAGGTTTAGGCGACAGAGACTTGTCAGATGATCACAGTGACAAGAAAGTCGAAGACTCTGTTCCAGATGAGAAGAAACCAGTGGATTCTTTGAAAGGCAAATCCCCAGAGAAAGTAAATGCTGTGAATGAAGCAGAGACGTCAGTTAATCATGAGGAAGTTGAACCTGGTAGATCAAAGGAATCTAGCAATTTAGAGTTACCGAAGGACCACACACCAAGTATTGTAAATGAATCGGAGGAGATACCGACCAATTCAGAGTGTCCACCAAGCTTCATGAAGGAACCACAGGAAGTATCTTCTGCTGAAGAGCATTCTCAGCTTATAGAGGTTGCTAAGGATGTGGATATGGTGTCTGATTTAAACCCTCGGGAAAAGAATGAGCCTTCTCAATTAGTTGCATCAATTTCAGTTGACGAACCCCCTCAAGCTGGTGATGTGTCAAAGGATGTAGACATGGTGTCAGATTCTCTGCCTGCAGACAAGAATGGATCACAGCAACCAGCAAAATCAAATGTAGTAGGAGAGCACTCTCAGTCTACAGAGGCAACGGCAGATGCAGACATGTCAACTTCACAGCCTTTGGAACTGAAGCCTGAGTATCTGATGGTTGAAAGTGGAGCCACTGCAGGTCCTCTGTCTGTGTGTGTGTGTTTTAGATATGGGGATAAAATTATGCATGTTTGAGAAAGATCTTGGATATAATTAAAAATAAATGGGTGGGAATGTGGGATGGAGTTCAGTGGGCATTTTATGTTCTTAGACAAAAAGTGTGTGTGCGCGTCACATCGGTTTTGGTTAAAAAGAAACAAAAAAAGAAAATAATCTAACCAAATAATATCTTCTCAAAGCTTTACTTGGATGAGTTCAGGAATTTTGCAAATTAATCTGGTTGCTTGCCAAAACTTGTATATCATTCATTTGAATCATGTGCTCTTGAATTGAGGTTTGATGGAGGTCTATTTGAAATTCTGGTTGGAGAGTTTTGACACCATGATGCTTCAGTTTGAGATTGTTAATTTGAATTTGGCTGGGAGATTTTTAGTCTATGATTGTATCTTCTTAATTTGTCTGTCCTTTGCAGATGAGGGTCCCAAAGACAGTAAGAAAGAGAAGCCTGACAGTGAAGTGATTAAAGATGACAATAAAATTGATAAAATAAAGCGTGCTGCAGTTTCAGCTCTCTCAGCAGCAGCAGTGAAGGCAAAACTTCTCGCAAACCAGGAAGAGGACCAAATCCGACAACTTGCTGCCTCATTGATAGAGAAGCAGGTATTTTGACTGCCCAGTAGGCTTTCTATGTTGTTATCTATCATTGTCTATGGAAGTATGACCTTGTGGATGGTTTCATATGTTGCAGTTACATAAGTTGGAAACAAAGCTAGCTTTTTTTAACGAAATGGATAGTGTAATTATGAGGGTGAGGGAGCAACTGGACAGGTCAAGGCAAAGGCTTTACCAAGAACGAGCTCAGATAATTGCAGCCCGACTTGGTTTACCACCTTCATCTAGAGCAATGCCTCCATCATTACCTGCCAACAGAATTGCAATGAACTTTGCGAATGCATTTCCGAGGCCTCCAATGAGCATGACTGCCCAAAGGCCACCGATTTCCAGACCGATGGGTACATTGGCTCCTATCCCTTCTGGCACATTTGTGTCCACGACAAATACAGCAGGAAATTCAATTCGGCCTTCTGGTCAGGACAAACTTTCGTCTGTTGGGACAAAGTAGTCTTTCCTCAGAATGCTTGTGAATAGAGCTGCATTGATTTTTATACACCAGTTAGTTATGACCAGTTTTACCAAGTGAGTACCTTTTTATGTCTTTACTGACTTTATTACATTTGATATCCTGTCATAGTTCCATCTTATACCTGTATAACATGAACTTTGTTTTGCTCACATATGACATATCCCAAGCCATCTAAAAATAAATAACTTGTGGATAAGCAGATCTGGTGTTGCTTATGTTTGTTGCTGTATCCCCCCTATTTCCTACTAGGACACGATGCTATCTGCCTACAATTTTTTCTACTGCATCTTAGCAGCATAGAGACTTGACCAAGCTCTAATACCTTTTTCTATTTGCTACAGTTAATTTTTAGAAGGTCCTGAGGGCGCATTTTTTCTGCTGCTGCAAGATCATTATCGTGCAACGTCTGTGTCTATATTAGATGATTGATACGTTGTCCTCAGCAGTCTCCTGGAAAAAAACGGGCAGGTGTCTTTTACGATGTTCTTTTTTGAAGCCACCATTGCCAGTCTACTCAAAAAATGTGAGGGATGGAGCTTTATTAGTAACTCAACGGTGTATTGCAAGGGCATTGGACCCATTCAACTCAGAATTATATGAGAATGAAAAGCATGATAACTTGTACGTTGAAATTTTGCTGATGGTTGAATTCATAATATCTTCTAAACGTTAGGCATAGATAATTAGTGTTATTGATAGTTTGTAACGAGTCTTCTTACAGCTCCAAATTGTAGACTGTCATATGTAAGAAAATGATACTTGGATTAATGAATTGATGCGGATGCTTTGATTTGATATACGTTTCTGCTCAACATGGTTTCAAAGTCTGTCCGCCTAAAAGCAGCTCTGTAATGTCTAGTTTAACAGTTCATTTTGTCACCCACTCCACTTTGACAGGCACAGGGATAATTAACTTTGCTTCCGTTAAAAAAAGTCACGGCCAAAGGCCATGCGGGGCAGCGATTTCAATTGATAAGAGGGAGGTTGACGGAGCGGAGAGCCTTACAGTGCTCTGTGTAAGAACTTAGTATTTAAACTTCTCAAACAAAAATCTTGATTGGAAGGAAAAAAAAATAGCATTATGTAAATAATATGGCTAAATGGCGTAGTGCCCAGAAAGAAATCAAGCACAACATGAACAAATCAAGCAGTCTTTACACAAAAGGCACCATATCCAGCACTAAGGGACAAATTTTTCCCACACACTTAATTTACAGTCTAGCCTCATACATAACAATAAGAATGGCTAAAACACAGCCCAATTGTTTGTAGCACCAGTGAAGAAGATTTATTGCTGCCGAAGAATCAGGCTATAATTTAGCACTCACATCCAGTTGACCTAGGCTGACTGCTGGTTCCAACATCAATGGTGTCTGGCAAGTATCTTCATGCCAGAAAATTTGCCGCAGGAAACACAAAAGCCAAGGGAGTGATCAGTATCAAGTAACGTTGTTAAATAAGATAACTGACAGATTATTCGATGTTTGAAAAAAAAAAGGAACAGGATAACAGAAAGATAATTCTAAGCTCTAAAAAAAATGAAGTTGTAGCTGTTAACAAGCCTAAATTAGTTGCTTTAACAAGGTCATCAGATCAGATATATTGCAGTCCAAAATGAGGAAACATTGTGGTTTAATGGTAAACTCAGATTCTAATGATGTGACAAATTTATCAGACTAGTTAGTTTGCATTCACTAAAAGCAGAAATAAAGGGCGAGTAGTGAAAATAGATACTTATTTTTCTGACTTACATCTCTTCCTCTTCCCCACTCTTAAGGGCATTCTTTGCTATGCATTGGAAAGCTTCCTCAACATTAATGCCTTCCTTGGCGGAGGTTTCAAAGTAAGGGATATTCCCTTTCGAGGCACACCATGCCCGTGCCTTTTTCTCTGAAACCTGGAATTCACAAGAAGCAGGTGTTTATATACGCAGAAAGGAATGAAAGCAGGGAAGTATTGTGCGACACATTCAAGATACATACCACTCTGCTATTTCCACCATCCACATCTACCTTGTTTCCAAGAACAACAAATGGGAAATTCTCTGGGTCAGAAGGACTTGCCTGCAAAAGTTTCTCACATCATCGTCAGAAATCAACTTCAAAATAAAATCACGGGTTTTGATAGATATGCTATCTGCAAGATTGAAAATACATAGAGGAATACCTGAATGAGGAATTCTTCCCTCCAATTATTAAGGTTATCAAAAGATTTCATTGAATTGACATCATATACAAGAACACAACAATCAGCGCCACGATAGAAAGCAACACCAAGGCTTTGGAATCTTTCCTGCCCAGCAGTATCCCAGATCTGCCAAAAGAAAAGGGTACGTGCTAAATGTTTGGGTAAAGCAATCCAACAAAACACTTAAGAATTAGAGACGCAGGACATCTGAGAATCCAATGGCATAATTTGCAAGCTGAAAAATTATGTGCTTGCATAACACATGGAATCGACTTGCACAGAATAAACAATAATCAAGTATTGGTATAAGTATATTGCCAACCTAACACCGTAGGACAAAAAATGCACGCAACAACCAATGTGGGAAAATTCTCCCACAAAGTGGTAGAAAGAGTAACCAACTTAGACCCCATTTGGAATCCAATTAATGGGATGGAATACAGCAATCCAAACCCATTTTTGTCCAATTGATATAATTGGATAGCGTGAAACAAATTGACACCAAAACTCATGTGAACTTTTACAAAGACGCAAGGAATTCCAAGGAAACTTGCTTATTTTCTTTTACATGTATTCTATTAAGGATAATATAGAGACTTCTATTCAATCCAAATCATTTTCATTTTGTGCTCACAAAAACCAAACTGAATCATTAATCCATTACAATTCAACTGTAATGGTATGAACTGAATTTGCAATATCAGTCAAATTTCTTTCCATTCAACCTTCACATATTACAGAATTACTTTTTTCTTTTCTCCTTTTAGATAAAATCATTTCTTTTAGAGTCTAATCACCAGGTTGATAGACTTGTTGCAAATCCTATATGACTTGCAACCAATAATGACATCAAAAAAGCATCTCATCACTCTTAAAAATATATACACTTCTACTACATTACTGAAATCTAAGTCAAATCAATGATATAACAAGTCGCCTACTCTACTAGCATTACCAACCTGTAAAGTAAAGAGCCTATCTTCAAACTGAACTTCCTTGGTCAAAAAATCAGCTCCAATTGTCGCTTTGTATTGATTGCTAAACTTCTTGTTTACATATCTGAAGGCATTACGTCAAGAAAACAGTACCAAAACACAGTATACATCTCGCAATACAAAATTTTTTATACTATAAAAAATTACTACTGAGATAACCGCAGGTCTAGAGGATACTGATTCATCAAAGAGGTTTTTCCTACCCTGCAAATCGCAAACAAATTGTATTACTTCATTGAAATCAATCGATAGACAAACAAAACAGGTATTGGCATACAAAATTAATCCAAAAGAGCCTCATCGATTCAAAATTATTCAAAAATAGATCAATTAAGGGGAAAAAAATCAAATAAGGTTAAAAAATTGGGAAAATCCGAGTATTAGAAAAAACATATAATTCAACCAACCAGATTAAAAATTCTACTAATCAGACAGAAATTTAGGATCTGGAAAGATCCACCTAATTTTGTAAGCAAACCCTAGAATTCAAAATCGAAAAAATAATAGAGTTAAAGGTAGGTAAAGCGACTGACCCGCTGTCGCCGAGGATGATAACCTTCAAGAGAGTTCTTCTACGGGAAGGCATGTTTGGTTTAACCGATCGATCTATCTACTTGTTTTCTTGAAAATTAAAAGAGAAGGAATGAGATTGAAGATTTCTTCTCTTTTTTGTGTTGGTAGAGAAGTACGGAGTAGATCCTCTCCTCTGTTGATTACTCTTGCTACGGAAGGAGGAGAAAAGAGTAACTCTTTTTTTATATATTTTCCTTTTCTTTTTTAGTTCTAGTGAGATGGTCGGACTTTTGTAGTTTAATAGAGTTGGCTTGATCAGGAAAGCTGGTAGTGACCTGTAATTTGTGGAATCTAATCGATATTTTTTTTTTGGAGAAAGTTCTGGAATGACAGTTTTGTCATTTGGCATTCGGATTCACTCTTTTATTAGCAAAACCAGTGGCCGTTATTGTCTATTTAAAAGGTACAATACTAATAATCATATTCCATTACAATTTCTGTTTCAATTGATAATTATCCAGATTCATACTTTTATTAACATGATCCTAGTTAATATTCTTATTTATTTATTACTGTAATGATGGTATGCCCACAGGTATTTTAAGGATTTCGTCAAATTCAATTTAGGCTTTTTTTTATTTACAACAAATTTGGTGTTCTTGCCTTCTTTACTTTTTCCCACTTAATATTAAAAAAAATAGATTTTTGTTGTTATTAAATAATATTTTTTCTGACATGCATAATATTTTTTATTAGCTCCTTCATTGATTCGGCGAGAAAAAGAAAATTCCAAATGATAAAAAAAATGTTGAAAAATAAGAATTTTTAGTTTGCTACTACACCAAACATTCAAATTGAAATTAATTTTTTCCTTGAAAGGGACAAAAAAATCAAATTCTTTTTAGTTTGCTACTATACCAAACATTCAAATTGAAATTATTTTTTTCTTAAAAAGGACAAAAATATCAAAGAAATCTCACACGGAAAATAAAAATGAACGAAGTAAGGAGAAATCATTAGAAATAAGAAAAGTCTAGTGATTATATAAAGAAGGTTTTTTTTTTTTCCCTAAGAGAAAAGGTTTGATTAAATTTATGTTCTTCTTAAGGGTATGTTAGCATTAAAAAATAATTAATAGCACTTAACCGTGAAATGGAATCATTAAAAGAATTAAGTTTTACTTGTAAAATGTGTTAGTGGAGTTAGGGCGAGGAATTTTAATGCTGATTAACAAGAGTCTTTAGGCACTCGTTAGCAAAACCTTATTTTAACTTCAGTTTCAATCTTCACAACATGTATAATTATTTTTCATTTGTTGTTGTATCTTAGATAATTTTTCAATAGATATGTCTATGTAAATTAATAGAAATACTCTCATTTAAGAAATTCAAAATCTACTTTATTTATTAAAAATAAATTTGGAAAAGAAAACAAATTGCTATGTGGTATTAAAATTCTTTTTTTATCGTTTTTTAATAAATTAAATCAGTTTTGATTTTCTTACATGAAGTATTTTCATCTGTTTTAATTAGAATATTTGACAAAATAATAAATTAAAAATAATCTTATGATTAGGATTTAGTAACAAAATTGAAAACAATTAAACTTATAAGAAAATATAAGAAACTAAATATGAAATATAAAAATAAATTGAACTAATTTCCTTTTTATTATAACTTCAAAATTATCTTTAAAAAAATATGGTGAAGATGAGGGAAAAAAATCATTGATGATAAAAACGGTAAAACATAGAGTTTTTTTCTAGAAAAAAATAGTGGGAAATTTGTCCCTATCCATGTATCATATTGATTCAGATTGGTGTGTTCATGTATTATTATTTTGACTTATTATGTCTATCAATTATATTTTATTGACTTAATATGTTTTGAAGTTAAATTGAAGTTTATTGGTTAATTTAGAACCTGTGGCGTGGTTAGAAAATGTTACGTCTTCAAATTTGAAGTTTAAAGCAATTTTAATTTTAAAAAAAATTACAAAATATAAATAAATAAATTTGCTAACACGTGTTTTTTATAATTTATTATTTAGTAAAGAAAAAAATATATCGAGGACACTCGCTCGATTTAAAGTGACACGTATCGGGGCATTTAGAAGATCATGACTGGTAACCGGTTAACTAATTAAGCATTGAAACTACGATTTTTTTTAAGAGAGTAAAAAAAAAAACTCTATTCTTCACTCTCCGCATCTACCGCAGCAACTGTTGTGCCGTTCCAAATCTAAAATTTAAGATTGGCGAATCCAGTTCGGTCTGGTTCTTTTGTGTGGAAATTTTTCTAAAATACATCTTGACAAATCTGCAAAGTGGCCTAATCCTTATTTTTGTTTCTGACCTAGAATTTTGTCTCTATATCTACCACTACAACTGGGTTTTGAGAGCACAATTTCACTGATGGGTTCTTTGAATAAAAGAATTCGTTGCAGATGTTGGGCTTAATTTACAATACGTAGTTTGGGGCCGTTAAAAATGGAAAGCAATGATATATTGGATTGAAGTTTATTAGAATTTGATATCTGGACATACAACTCCTTTAAGAACATATACTGAATGGATGTCAACTGAAGTTTGATATTTGTTCTCGATAGAAGTTTTTGACTGGAACGAGTTCTTTGACGAACTGTTTTCCTTCTCTTCTTCGTTTCTCTTCTTTTTATCAGTACAGTTTACTTTCTCAAAAAAAAAAAAAAAGTATTAAGAGTTTGACGAGAAATTTTATAATATACTACGAGTAATTAATAACATGTATAATAGATACTTCATAAATCCATTTTGAGAAGAAAGATAGATACTGAAAAAAAGAAAAACAAAAGAGAAAAAATAAAAAAATTTAAACATACGTGACAATCTTCTTATTATTTTTTATGGATATGAATATAATTTTTTTTATATCTGCCTCTCTTTTCAAAATAAATTAATGAAATAACTATTATATATGTCATTAATTACTTTTGCTGTGTTATAAAATTTCTGACAGAGTTTATCAGTTTTGAAGTAATTTTTGAATGACGTGGCTCACTAATTAAGCGAGTGGTGCTAGCAGCCGTCAGTATTGACTGCTGCTAGCATTCCGCCAAAAAACTGTATTCGTCTTAACATAGTAACGTGTTGGACAAAAAAAACACAGTTAGCGAATGAACCAAACAAATAATACAGGCTTTCTCTCCTTTAAAATTGCATATAATTCTTGCAGTATTCATAAAAGTAAAAGATTCTTCAAATTGTAAAATCAAATGCTGGTTTTTCAGAGCCAGCAATTGGCTGCTGGATTTCGACTCAAAACTAGAAAAAGATGCTTAGGGGGTCGCTATGGCGTGGCTGAACGTAGAGCAATCCTTCTCTGAAAGCGTTTGATCAGTTATTTTTATGATTCCAGCCAATTGGTTTTTTTTAAAAAAATGTGATTTTACCGATTTAAATGAAACAGGTTTAACATTATGAAAATTTGGTTCAACATATTCTATTCAATACGAATAGAAAAAGATCCCGATTGAAGATTCTTTTTTCAAAAGCAAAACTCAAGGACCTTCTTAATTTGGTTCAGCATATTTTATTTGATACGAATAGAAAAAGATCCCGATTGGAGATTTTTTTTTCAAAAGCAAAACTTAAGGACAAGAAGTAATAGGATTAATTCTCAAATAATAAATAAAAATAAAAATAGATCAAAATTTTTTTCCTAAAAATTTTTGAGTTCAATATAAATGTTCAATAGCAAGTTGATTGATTAATTTAATAAAAAATAGGAGTTAGCTTTTAATTTTATCGGTAACCTGCAATGAATCCAATTTAAATGTTTATTTATTTTGGCTTTTTAGATTATTCTCTACTCGTATAATAAAATTGAATCGAATAACTTATCTTTTTCGGTAACACATACACAAATAAAATTCTTATTTTATACTATACAAAATGAATTTAATTCTTTTGATAGAATCATTTTAATTGAAAAATGTATCTTTTTTCTGATTTTGTGTAATCTTAATTATTAGTTGAATTTCTAACAATTTATCTCATTCAAATTATACAATGAAGTTTTTAATATATATATCCTATTACCAATTCAAATAAATAACATATTAATAGAATAAAAATCAAATAAGAATCATGCTCTTTTGTAGAAGGAATGGATTTTTTTTTTTTTTTTTCGCTTTGTTCTCCATGTTGCAAGAAATAAGCCCTTTGTTTAGCCCTAGCAAGGGATTAGGTAGAGAAGATAGTTGCGAATGATTATAGTGTTATTCTATAATTATAAATATACTATATATGTATTTTTTGCTTCGTCGAAATCTGATTTCATGATATAAATGTTCATGACCTTCCTCTCCATGCCTTGCGATAACGATTCTTTTGGCATTATGGTCTTTACCACAATAATTCTATCTATGGATCAAATTATATAATGTATTAGATTTCACTTAAATGTCTATAACTTTATTGCGTGTGTGTTTGAGTAGAATTTATGTATAGAAATGGTTATAATAGAGTTTCTCTTATATCTATTAACAACTATTCTAGGATAAATATTTTGATGCAATGCTAGTGATTTAATAACTATTTTTGTAACTCCATAAAGTTCCCCTTTATATTCATATTTATTACCAAGAAAGAAATACAATTTAATGGGACTATTACGAAATATTTCATTATAGGTGGGGCAAGCTCTTAAAGTTTAGTTCATTCTCTTATGGATCCAGATAGTCCAAATAATCATTTAGATCCTGAGATTCATTGAAGTCTCATTTATATTATTACATTATTGTGGATTTATTTCGAATGCGTTCTGCTAAAAGGATAAACTAAACGAATTTTGCTTCATGAACTTTGTATTGCGCAAATTCCTTACATGAGCTATATAAAATCAACAAAAAATAAATTAGGAAAGAAAAACAAAGAAATCAAAGGAGATTTAATTCTATTTGTATTGTATACGAGCTAAAAAGTGTTGTCTGATGAGCTTGTAATTGTTCGGGTAAAGGTTGACCAAGCCAATCTAATACAATAGAAAAGAATAAAATAGAAAATAACTATCTTTTTCTATATACTTTTTTTGT